TCTCTCCCTTCCTATAGCTTTCTTTTTTCAGATATTCCTATCGTTTAAATGCACTTTCTAGCTGCGACCAAACAAATCTAAGGCTCCGAACAGAGGACCATAAACGATTAAATTACAATGGCATGACTATTTACAGCTAATGTCAAGTGAGTCACATTAACCGTGTGAACTCCCAACCTTTACAGCTGTTGATGTAAAACACAGTATTTGAAAGCACCTTCATGTTTCAAATTTGTTTAACATATAAAAATTCAAGAGCTCCAATCTAAAAAAAATACAACAAATAATTTACAGTTCGTGTATCTCTCTCCCCTTGCTTCCCACCCCCATTAAACACAGATCTTTATTAAGAGACAGGCTTACTGCCTAACTGCATATTCACCCCCCAAAAAATACAGCCTGTTGTGCAAATTGTGTCGGTAAACTCTTTTATAATGTATTATGAATGATAGCTCCTAATTGGAACTTAAGGAAAATACAGGAAGGAGAGCTTTTCCCTATCCCCACTTGTCTTTAGCACACATGTACTGCTTTTTGCATGTTGTCAATTTTCCAACTACTCCTCATCATTTTTATCGGTCATTGATGCAAAAACAGAAGAGAGAGAGTATTTTTTGGAAAAGAGAATATTTGAATCGAAAAAAAGAAATTAAGAGTGGCACTTACAGCTAACATTAACACTTTTAAATCTCCTTAGCTTTCTGGGTGATTAGTCTCCTTAAAGAAACATTTACATATTCTTTTCATGCAAACCGAGTTCAATGCAGACACTGCCTCTCCAATAAATTCACAGACGCAAAGAAAATTGGCAACTTTGCTGCTGCTTTTTGTACACGAGTATCACCTAATCTGTTACAGATATGTTAGAAGTGTACACAACGTGTTCTCCTTGGCATCCAAGGCACATTTTTTGAATGAGTTTATTTCTCATATACATGTCTCCAGCCTATGCCTCGAGCGTTTCTGCAATGCCTAAGCATGGAGTACAGTGCAGAGCAACGATATCTAAGGATGATTCTAACAAGTTAACCGCAGGGCAGATCAGCAGGACTAATAAGTAATGAACATCACACTCATATTAGTTCTGAGAACCAAGCTACTATTTCTTCACAGCGCTACACAGGGTGGAAGAGATAAACAGAGATTGCTATAGTCACATAAAAGTCAAAACGTTTTAGTTACATATTGTTGGCATTTATCAGAAAATTTCCTTTTTCTGAAGAGTAAGACCCACAGCTCTATTAACACCAGGCACATCAGCCTCACTGCAGCTAGGAAGCAAGCCAGATGCAGGAATCCCTCCTATACTACATGTGGAGACCACAGACACCTTACTCCTCTTCAGTGCAAAGGTGGCAACGCCAGCCCACCCACATGATGTATAATGAGTGAGAATATTCGCAATGCAGATTCCATCCACCTCAACCAACTTCCATCATGTAAATCTTTGTACTTTCCCTGTTTGAGAAGTTTACAGAGGGAAAAGAATTTTTGCTCATCCTACATTACAATACAACACATTCTGTGTTTTGTTTGAGGGTTTCTGGGAGAGCGGAAAGGTTTTTATTGCCTGATTACCCTTTCACTACTTACAGGTGTACTTCAGGGACAGGCTTAACGCGCTGTCTAATCTGCAGTCATTTCTTTGTTGCTTAGCACAGGGATCAGCATTGTAAACTAAATTTCTGACAAAAACAGCTCAAACTGTCCACAAAATTCCTTCAACAACACTGACAGATGGGAACTGACTGCCCTGAGCATTTGATATGATAGAGCAAAGACCCATCAAACTGCACAAAATAAGATTTTTATTCTAGTATCTTTAAAGCCATGGGAATGTCAGTTTACACATGGTCTAACAAAAGACAGACCATAATTTTCCTTTCTTTTTGCTTTTCCTTTTCTTTTTTTCATTTCTCGTGGGAGGGGTAACTAGTCTGATGCCATCTGAGTTTCCAGGCACACAAAGAGGGCTGAGCTATGATCCATCTATTCCTGGTTGTCTGTTAGTATCAGGTTTATTGAAAGGAATGTTCTCTCAGACGAAACAAAAAGCCCCCGTAGTTAGCAACCAGGTTAAATTTGCACTTGTGCTTGAACCCTGAACACCTTCTGGCCTCAAAGAAGTGAAGTTAGAGGAAAGCCTTGCGGCATACACAACCAAACCATTAAATCAGAAGACTCCTTTATTGCCCACCCTAGTGGGCAATTCATCTCTAGTCTGATGTCTCTCTCATTGCTCTGTGCATGGAGATGGAGACTTACTAGTGACAAAGTATGACAACCCACATCAGGAACTAGGGATTGTGGACAATTAGGTTGAAAACCACAAGGTCATGGACAGATGCAGCTTGTAACAACAACTCAGCATTTTCTAAGCACAGGGATGTGCCAGACTTTCCTGCTGGAGAGCCTTGCAGTTCGAACAACTACAACTTGCCTAGATCAGCTACAGATCTAGAACAAGAGAGCCATACAGAATATATGCAGGTCATACATGTTGGTATCTTCCCTGAAATTCTCAAGGAAAAGTATAGAGAAGGTAACACTCGGAGACTGCAACAAAGGAAGACTTCCAGGGAGGGGAAGATGAGTCCTACATCACCTTTTAGTACTCTCTGGCATTAGCAGTATCTTCTGGTATCTCCACGTGCAACCTGTATGGCAGCATTGGGGTAACAGAGCTTCACAGTTACAAATATGGATGCTGGCAGAAACCACAGAGACTTAGACATTTTCTGCCACCTCCTGTACTGCCCTTCCCACATCATTCTCTTCATACATGAGGGAGATGCAGCTGTCAGTTCCTGTACCAAGCTGATGTGACCCACCCTACCTCCTTCTTACTCAGGTGGAAGCCAGTAACACCTAACAAGGCCATGAGAAAGAAATTACACCACATTCATAAATCCAGACATATTCCCAACCAAGCCATGAGGTGGTATGGGGACAGTATTTTACTTTTGCTGCTGGGCTTCTTGAGCTTAGCTCTGCTTCTAAATTTCACAGGGCAACAGTTGCAACCAGTGCTTCTGAAAGGAAGAAGCCGCCGTTCCCACAAGGCAGATGCAGTCCTGGGACTCAGCTGAACATACTCAGCCAAAACACATTGAGACATACAAACTAAAGCTCTAAATTTTCTTCAGAGAATCCACTCTACAGCTGGGAGGTCTGGATGGCACCTGCTTATGTCCGTTCAGACTGATAAAGCCACAAAAGAAGTCTGTGTGAAGGAAGAGATCTCTGCTGAGGAAAAGAATGACAAGTCTATTTCCATGCTTAAGACTGGAAAGCTGCTCAACTGGTTACAATAAGAGATCTGTGCACTTTGGCACAGTGAAGAATTGAGCTTCAGATCATAAAAATCTATAAAAATGCATATTTGAACTAAACTGGTATTTACTCAGCACCAAAATAGCCTGAGGGTTACACCTGCATACTCAAATTAATTTTCAAGTGCCTCTTTTGCTATGCAGGGTATTTTATGTTACAGTTGTACCATACTTATATAACCTACTTGAAATGTATTTCCCCTTGTTTGGAGTAACAACTTTCTGGAGATGTCTCATAAAGTCCAATTTGGAAATAAATTAAAGGCAAGAGCCTTCACCACATACTGCTTCCTGACTACTATACAGAATACCTGCTGAGCAGAGATCAAGCAGGTCTCTCTGCTGATTTCAGAGCACAGGTTAAAACACACTGAGCTGCTAATAAATGGAGGCTTATACAAAGTCTTTTAATGTCTTCATCAATGAGAGCTCTATATGACTTACAGTGAAGTGCTTTTAGATGGATCTTATTGACAGTGGAGTATACGTATGTTCAGTATGACACACAGTGGAACAGTAATCACAGAATCAGAGGGGCTAAGCACAAGCACTCACCTAATCTCTGTCCCAAGGAATGTTAAACTATAGTGTTACCATTCCTGACAAATGCATCTTCTTAAAGACATCTAGCGATTGCAACTCCATGCCCCTCCTCCCCATACACACCAGTAGTCTACCCCAGCACTTCGCTACCCTCATTATACTCTTCTTTGCTGCAATTCACACTTTTTACTTCTTGTTCTAAACATCATGGCGATCAATAACAGACCATTCTCTTCCTCACTGAAGTCTCTTATAAGCTCCCCTGAAAGTCTCTTTTCTTCACATGAAACGCAAACAGTTATTTCAATCAGTACTCCATGGCAGGTTTTCTGAGCCTCTAATCATTCTTATTGCCCTCCTCTGGATTCTCTCCAGTTGACCCGAATCTGTCACAAAAAAATTTAGTATAGGAGTCCACCTACAGCCACTTCAAGCCTGAACCAGACATAAGGATGACTTCTAATGTCCTGTAGGATAACAATGCTACATAATCTGACACTGGATTATATTTGGGCAAATGTTATGAATGGATTAAGATCTTTAAAACTGGAACAGTTGTTCTACAAAAACAGGAGTAATATGTATATATATTATCAAAGACAATGTTCTCACATAAGCAAACTATGCAATTCAAATTATTCTGTGAAAAGTACACAGTCTGTCCAGGAATCAGCAGTACTAAGTCATCATCTCTCCGTCAGGAGATGTACAACTATGTACAAGAATTACAGTAGCCAACTCTGTCAACCCGAAACCCTCCTGAAACACCTTTCACAAAGAGCTTTCATCAGGCCATTCTGCTTGTCTGATGGGCTAGATGCTTCGTCTAGTTTTCCCTGACAGAAGGCTTCCAGACGGTGGTCAAATAGCAGTTATGAATCACTTAAAATTATAAAAAGCCCCAACCAGCACAGATTAGTTATATTAGAAAAGGTCACTTCCATCCTGTGACAGTAGTTTTAATAAGAGTTTGAGGACAACTGGCTGCAATTCTCCAGCTCAAGTTTTGTTTGTTTTTGTTTTTGTTTTGTTTTGGGGTTTTTTTTGTTTTTGTTTTTTTTTTTACAAGCCATGAAATTCCTATAACCTAAAAATATAAAACAAAATTCTGTCCTTTGTACTTACCCTTCTCTTTGGTACTCCTCATCCAAATTTGACAAAAGCTGGGACCCAGCCACAGACAGATCAAGTGCAGCTAAAGGTAGATCTCGATAAGCAAAATTAACAAGTTGTACAGGAGCAATGCTTTTAGTCTCTTCTTCCACTTGTTGTGAAATTATCTCAACTTCTGAAATACCACCTTCTATTGTAGGCCTGAAAATGCAATAAAATAAAAAACCCTCTCTCTCCACACACACATATACATATAAACAAATATAAATAAATAAATAAATAAGAAAGCAAGTAAAAATAAGTTAGAGACAAGAACTTCACAGAATCCTAAAAGCCAGCAACTTAAAAGGCCTTTACAAGGTCATTGAGGGAGGTGGCCTCATTGAAGGGACAGACAAATCTCTCCAAACTTGTCTTTCGTAGATCCCATTGCAATCAACAGAAACCTCACAGTCAAAGAACAGCATTTCACTCTGCTGAATCTGCTTCAAAAGCACTAAATATAAATGGATGTGTTGTAAACAGACAAACAAATACGGAAACAATGCATGAACCCAAAAGCAAAATATTTGTGCAAAACAGAAAGAAGGCATGTAACTATGCCAACTAAAAACTCACTGCTTTGTAAGTTAGATCAGTGAGCAGTGAATAGCTAAGCTTATTAATCATTATATACAAATCAACCGTTAATTAATGGCTGCAACTTGACCGCTCCTCCACTGTGGGCCAATATTCAAATAGTTTTAAGGGATGGTGACTTTGTTTCATTCAACTAGAGAGGATCATTCTGTTACAAGTTATTTAAAAATAATTCTGAAAGTAGAACAACAATTCAGAAGAATTATGGACTCCTCTATAAAGATTATCTTAACTATCCTTATGTACAGTTTCTAAACCTGAACATGTATTCTTCTACCATCCCACTAACATTAATGGGAACTCCATGCAGGTAAAACCAGAGTCTGACTATGTATGTGTCTTCCACATTTATAACAAGATACTACTTATCTAGAAACTCAAACTTTGTCAGCATATTATCTAGTGCATGTGAAGGATGACTTCACTGTAGGAGAGAGCTTGCATGTCAAGTCCCAGCAGGGATTGATCCTTTGCAGTACCCAGTGAAAGCTGCTTGCTCCATTTGATTCAGAGTAGGTGCAAGCATAAACTTCTCTAGCTTTCATCCAGGGGAGCTTGTTAACTTCTGAAGAAATCTCAGGCTACTTGTCAGAGGTTTGCAACAGCAGGTGTGAAGATACTCTTTTTCCTTAGGGATATAGTTAAAAAGTGCTTAGCACCCAACTTTCCTCTGTTATTTGACTGCAAAAGTTGCATTGGTGATTTTGTTTTAAAGCAGCTTATTAAAATCTTCTAGCTATTCAAGCAAGCTGAACAACAGTTCATTTTTTTCCAGGAAAAAAATGAATAATTTAGAAGAGTTCTTAACTCCTATATTGTAAGTCTAAGGATGTGGGTGAAGGAACTAAAATTCTCTGTGAAAGGGATAGTGAAAGATTCTATTGGTCAGAGCCTCACCATTAGACCTACACTTTCAGACAGAAAACGTTATTCCTAAATTAAAAGGAGCTAGCTCCTGCTAGCATTACACAAGAAAGTAGTTTTAAGAATTGGAAAATGCTGTTATATCTCAAGTATTTGGCAGGGAAAGGCTGCAACTGTGTCACACTATGGCAGAAAGTAGAGGTAAAAGGAAGTACTATTTGAACAACCTAAAGGCTTCTTTTATTTTATTCTTTGTCTAACTAATAACGGAAAGCAATGAGATTCTTTCACTTTCAACAGAACTATATTCCTCTGTTAACAATCTGAAATCAGAAGCCAGAGGGGGGAGTTAATTTTAGCAAGAGTTTTCCTTCTTTGATTTTCACCTTTAGTGCCATCCCATGGATATTTACAAGTCCAAGCTGGTTCAGTTTTGCACAAAAGAGCATACAATGATCCAATTTCCAGTATTATAAAGGAAAAAGGAAATGGGTTGGTGCAGTCTTCCCTCTCCCAACAGTATTTACCTTCTGTGTTCTCAGGCAGACTAAATGACAGACATTGTCTGACTTGACTGAAAAGAAAAACAAACCAACCAACAGACTAGTGTTGGCAAACAGCTTTGGGACAGGTTTGGTGGCAGGAAAGAAAAAAGGCACATGGATCTGAAAATAATATGACATACTAGTTTTCAGCCACCGGCTGTTAGTAACACATCAGACATGCTTACAGCATTCATCCTTTTTTTGCTAATTCACACTCTTTAGACAACTGACCAAATTCTACTACTACTTCTCAAAATATCAACTTTTCCTTTCAGTAATACTGATAGAACCCTCTTCATGTCACAACATCATTCTCCTACAGGTAGCAACCTGTTCCCTTTTATTTAAAATAAGTTATAACTATCCTCACATGGTACTTACTGAGGATTGGTCATGTTGGAGGATGCAACTGAATCAGCAGTGGTTCCAGTATTTAACTAATTCCAACTGCTCTGCACAGAAGTTCTAGCCTTCCAAGATTAGGTCTCTGTGAGAAGCAAAACAAAGTTACCTAAAACACAGCCAAAAGAACTCCAAAGGGCTGCAATGATGGTTGTTGTCATGTTGTGAGTTTGTCTAATAATTTTATTCCCCCCATGATTCCTTTTCAAAGTGGATATTATGGCAGCTGTAAAGTTACAGTGCATTTACTTACACACATGGACACTTGCTCACATATATACTTCTATAAGAACACAGATCTTGCTCTAAACCACTAAATTGTTGAGAAAGATAAGCAAGATCAGAGGAGAGACCGGATTTTCAAAGAAAGCTCATGGCTTCAGGAGTGCAAATTCTATTGGAAACCAACCGTTGTGTTTTTGGTTTGGTTTTTTTTTTTTTTTTTTTTTTTTTTTATAATTTAATATACTTCATAGAGATGAGTATTATCTTTGTCAAAGTTTGGGGTTGTGTTCTCCATTTTCCAATTTGAACTGTGTACCAGACTCCCTTTGCTACTTTAGAAAGTCTCTTCCAAGATTTAATTCAGGTTGTCAAATGTTCTAGATGGGCTGTTAATCAAGATGATATTTTGATCAACAAATCCCACTAACACATTTGGAAAAGGTGCCCCATTTGACTGCGGCAAAATCTCCATTTGTGTGTACGTGGACAACATGCATGGCAACCAGAATGGAAGAGGACAAGCTTGTGAGAATGAAACCTATTGATACGCAGGTGCTGGTAGCTGGAAAAACATAAACTGGAGAATACCATATAAGAAACAAAAATTCTTAGAAAAAGATATCATGAGAGACTTTGTAAAGGTACTGTCAGGATTATATGCTAAATAATTTTTAAAAGTAACATAAAAACACACTCTTATTTTAACTAAGCAGAACAGTCATTGGCAAATTAGAATATTACTGACAATAACACCAAAAAAGTTTCATGATAATGAAAAATGCTTCTTATACTAAACTTTATACTAAAGTCACTTACAGGCTGAATTGTTAGTATCAGTCAAGTATTCACAGTGGAGACATAAATGTAGCAACAGTATGACCCTTAACAATCACTTGATAACAAATAATAAAATTGAACTTACATCTTTTGTAGAGCCATTTTGAAGGCTTTATTTCATGTCTTGTAACCTTATAATAACGTAAAATGTAGTCAATGCATTCTCAGATTTTCCAGATAATGCATCTGGGTATGCAAAAAGAAAGGGTCTACACTGTGATCACCCTCCTCGGGAAGATAAGTCAGCCAAAAGCAATTTAATTATTCATATGGAGAAAAAAACACATGATCAACTTTTAAACAGAAAAATACATGTATTTTAGAAAAACACACACACTCCATTTATCTATAACCTTGTAACACTTCTAAAGTCAGAGTAAGAAGCCAACTTTTTTTCAGATAAACCTTCCCTGATACAGCAGAGACTTGATCCAACATCCATTCAATATCAATGGGAGTCCCTTTCCCAGCTTCCGTAGTCCTTGAATTATTTTATTTATTATATCCCTAGGGTAGCAAAATAGTGAAACATTTGCCTAAAATTATGCATGTTTAAATCACACACTGAAGGGATTTGGTGAATCTGTACCTATGGCAACTTTATGATAGCAACTGTTACACCTACCAGCACAACAAAACTAAAATATAAATATCAGCCTTGTTTTGTGATGTTAGCTCCCTAAAATCTAATTTTGTGTTGACATTTTACAACACTTTTCAAAAACACAATTTTTAATAAAAAAATTTACCCAACCCAATTGTTCTAAGCACTCCGCCTGAGAAAGTGTTAAAGGCATGCGGTACTGTGCACCTGTCTTGTGACACCGAGGAAACTGAGAATCCTGCTATAAGTGCATTTGCAGGCCTGGAAAATAAAAAGTAAATGGGGATACAGATGATTTAGGAAATGGGAATAAAACTGATGGAAACTAGCCTCAGAGGACAGGCAGACAGATGTAGATATGGCAATTTCTTAACATAGTAAAAAACTTACCATTTATTTGGGAGACAGCACAGTGCTAATACTCACAACCTCCCTCCCAAAGGGGGTTTAGAAAACAAAACAATGACAAAAAAAGTACAGCTAAATTTAAAAAAAAAATCATCTTATTTTTTCAATTAATCTCAAGATTTTGAGGGAACTTAAATCATAACAGTGGGACCAGCAACACATAGGACATGAACATGAAATATTTACCTCTCCAGAATATAGACTCAGCCTCTTTTTTTTGTTGTTTTTTTTTTTTTAAATCTGGAAATCTGTTCACATTCATACAGAATTTCGTTTTAACAACTCAACCAGATCTGACCAGTGGCAACACCAATAAGCCAGACCTGCTCCCTCTTACTGGAGTTGGCAGCTCTACAGATAAAGTTTGCTCACCACCAGGACTGAAGGAGCAACTCGCAGCCGGGCAGCAAGCTCTTCTGATAGCTCTGATGGCTCTACAGGGAGCAGAGTCCAACTCGCCTTAGCTGAAGGGATCGTTACCATGACATAAGGCGCTCACAAAGGTGAGACCAGTAACGTGGAAAGAGACCTGAAAGGAGATAGAGGGAGTCAAGTCTCCAAAGGACTCACTGGAGCCTTCCTGAGAGAAAAAGTGGCAAAAAGTGAGTAATTTCTGGTGCAGATGACTAATGTATTAGCTGATTTAATGAATTAAAAAGACAAGTAGTTAATACGTACAATAAGAGGGCAGCACAACTGAAACCTTCAAAATGGACGTAATAGGTTGTGTATATCTATATCCTAAAGGGATTACTATGATTTGTGTTTCTTTCTAGGCTGTATGCAAGCAACAGAAATGTCTTAACATATACTGATATTTTGCAGAAACTTGTTCTTTCCATCCACTCCACCTCATCTATCTGTTATGTTCAAAACTTCCTTAAAAAAAAAAAAAAAAACAAACTTCTATAGCAGCATAAAACACTTCCAACTTCCACAGGAAGCTTCTGTGCAACTGAGTGGTGTTTAAAGGCAACAAGGAACAGCAGGGAGATTTCATTCTTCTACACTTACCTCTCACTTGCATTCCTATAGGATATACCGTAGGCAAAGAGCAATGATGTGGCTTTCCTCCCTACCAACAGAGACAGGCAGGGGGCAGAGGGCAACCCTTGGGTATTCCATCCACCACCCAAGAGTGGAAATTTTTCCATACATCCCTTTCCACACCTATCCCACTCAGTGCTCGGTAGACAAAAAAAGCCTCATCTCTCATGGTCTCATCTGAGGGAATTAGTTAACAGTTCCAGGGTTGGTTGTTTTGTTTTGTTTTTCTTTTTCCCCACTTCTTGGAACTGAGACCAGACAGCACACAGTGCATGCTGAGTTGCCATATGGGTATGAGCAATGCCCATTTTGTGAGAGTTCAGCAATTCTATTTGTTCTCTGGTGTAAGTGTTTTCAAGGTGAGATGACTATAGAAGGAGCACAGTTTCCCAAGTTAAACAGAATTAGCTTAAAAAGGCGATAGGACAGAACGGAAAGAATTGTTTCACAAAGTTTCTAGTGCAAGCTTTGAAGTGGTGTAAAAAACAGAAACATTCACTGGACTAAATGACTGACACAGTTTGCATGTACCAAGAGGACAGTGCAATCTGATGGGAAGCATATTTCTGCATCTGGTTTTCCGTATAGAGACAAGTTTGTAAACTAGTAGCCCAGCTTAAAATGTGCGGGATCACAGTTCAAATCTCAGCAAAGCTGACTCAGCTCTTCACCCCTCTGCAGTAGGTAAAGGAAGTTGCACCCAGTTCACTGAGCTCTTTCTGAGGCAAGACCTTCAAAGTGCTTAAGTAGTGCTGTACTCGCCTTTCAAGCCCTTCAGCTTTCCTCTGTTGTTTGCACACGTATTACACATGCCAGTGTTCCTCACAGCTTTTGCAAGATACCCTTTTTGCTTGATTACGATTTCTTTCACCCCCTGCTCTGTGGAGACACTGGCAAGCAACTGCTTCACAGTTCATGGGTTATGCTCAGAATCATGCAGATTGAGAAGTGGGGTCAAGCGCTATAGTTGAGCAAAGGTTCGTGCTGCTGCCCTTGCCCAGCACACATCCTGCCCGAGTTAATTTGTTAATGTTTAGATCAACCATCTATTGTCGGTCACCACACCTTGGCTGTAGCTTGCTAATAAGGAGATAAAGTCCAGCTTAAACAACACAAAGCATAGAACAGTTTGGAAAGTATATGTCAAAGCGTAGCAGTGAGATAATAGCATAATGAGTAGTGAGATAGTTTGTTTGTACATACACTCTCAGGTAAAAGAAAAACAGAACAAAACAACAAAACCCCCAAGGGCAACCTTAAACAAAAAAAAAAAATCTTTACTTCACTCGTGCGTGAAAACCGTGACTTTTAGCATCGGTTTAAGCACAGTCTTACAAAGTATGGGCCACAATGTAGTGGACCCAATTGGGGGTATGGAGTAGGAAGATGGTTTAATTTAAGCCTTTTGCACCAAAGTCTCTACTAACTTGCACCCTGTTTAGCTGAGCTGAAGTAAAAACCACATGGTTCAGAGCTGTTCGTTGTATTTGCTCACGTTCTGAGGAGTATTATCATGAAGCTGTAAGCTCCTGTACAAAATACAGACACTAACTAAAACATCTGAGTTTATATACTTACAAGTAGCTACAAAACCAAATTCTGACATGTTCTTCTAACTAAAGATTCTTCCACACAGCCCTCCAAGAGCAGCTTAGACACATGGACAGGCTCACAGTTTGCATTCAAAGTAAATGCGACAGACCACGCTTTGAGGAAACACTGCTGTTAGTTGCAATTTTAGGTATTCTTGCCCAGCTTCTGCTCCTGCCCCTGCCCATGCCGTACACATGCACCTGAACACGGGCCGTTACTGTGAGCTGGACCAGGAAACTGGTTTGGCATTTCAATCAACAACAAAATTATTTTTCTTTT